CAGAGCAGCGCTGGGGACAATCACAGGTTGAATCCTTAAACTGCAGGTGTTGTTGCTTGGGTGAGAAGCAAAGCAGAGGTGCTGTCTCACCGCTTTGGCAGTGGTGCCCCCAGACCTTCACGTTTACTATGGGTGGTGGCTGGGTGCTGAGTATCAGGGGAAAAAAATCCCCACACACCAATTCTTAACTGCAACATTTTAAGTACTTGGCTGTATTACTCAGTCTTTGCTGAGAACTGCTCTTACAAACACAACCCTTGGGTAAAACAATAATTACAACTTAGTTTTCCTTGAGGAAGTGCCAGATTTCCTATGTTTGCTATAAACTTCCTCATTCCCAACAGAACCCCACTGTAGCTGCTGTACAGCCGGACTCACTGGAGCACGGGACAGGGATATGCACAGCCCTTGACACAGGCAGGCGGGTGAGTCTGGGTGAGGCACAGTCGTGTCCCCAGCACACATGAATGTGCAGCCCATAGGTGTCCTGGACCACTGCTGCCCCATCAGCCAGCACATGGAGATGGTGGGTGAGGACAGGAATAGCCAGAGGAAAGGTGCAAGCTCCTGCTCTTGGTGACTCCTGGCGTGCACACTGATGACAGCCAGCCAGGCAGTTGCATCTTCCTCCAACACCATCTGCTGGCAGGGAGACCTTGCTGTCAGCAGTGGTGGGTGTCCTCTGCTTCCTGGCAGGATTTGGGGCTTCTTGTAGAGGAAGATACAAACCCTAGCTTGATGTTACAAATGGCTCTGCTGACATCCTGGGCAGACATCAGATGCTGAAAACATGCCTTCAGATGCACAGGGCATCTGAGAAATACACATCCAGTGGGGAGGCTGTGCACTAGTGACTGTCCATTAGCAATCCCTGTTGCAGAGTAATCACTGTAGAGGATCACTGGCATCCAGCTGAGCCAGCTATGTACAACCCCCCAGACACATACAAGACCCCAGGTGGTCAGTGCTGCCAAAAGCAGCAGTTCCAGCTGCCTGTGCTCACTGGGCCCCCACTTCAGGCAATGCATGGGGGACCAGGTGCTCATTGCTCTGCCAGGGCCACTTCTGCACACAGCAGCCCACTACAGACACTCCATCCCTCACCATGCAGACAGCCATACCCTCCTGTAATTTGGAAAACCACAGTAGGGCTCGAAGGTTTGTGGGCAGAAAAGTTGGGAACAGAAAGGGAAATGTCACTGGAGTATCTTAAAACACATGTGTATTAGACTCTCTCTGTTCTAAGACTTTCCAGTACAACAGCCAAATTCCAGTTCCCCAGTAGCTTTTGCCCATGACCCTCATGCAGTGAAATGACCCAGAACAATACACTTGTGGAGTCAGAAGAACCCACTGATGGGCACAGGACACGCCTGGAGTGGCAGCAGCATCCCAGGGCAGAGCAGCACCCACCCCACATCCCGGGAAGCATAGCTGACCTCCTTGGGAGAAGCAGTGCTGGAGCCATGTCTACACAGAGCCAAGTGTCTGCGCTTTGCTTCCTCTCACGCTCCTGTCCAAGGAAACCTCAACAGCACATTAAGGACTGTAATGGCATTAACAACTCTCACAACACATAATACAAACCTCCATTAATCATAATGGTGATACGGCCACAGAACAAACATCTTAGCAACATTCTGCTGTGTGTATCCTTTGATAGAGAACGGATTTTCCCTCTGGAAGGGCCCATCTACTATCAAACTTCCAGAAATAAACAATTTAGAAGAAAGATAAAACACTTTCACAAATTTGCAAACCTATGTGTGGTGTTCCTATCTCATAATTCTCAAATTCTTTAGATGTTTAAATATGTACAGGCTTTGCTTTGTTCCTGAACTCTTTCATCTTCTTCCAGTAAGTTCATGCAATTTCAGCCATAGTAAATGAATCCAGCAGATCCATGGATGCTGTCAGAACTCAGAAAAACATTGACCCTATGGACAGTTTTCTCAGCTAAAGAAGAAAACAGGGCCAATTACAGCAGAGAACAGCAGTCAAAGGTATGCAGAATAAAATGGAGTTCCTTCCGCGTTAATTATTTCCTAGGCCTGCTTTTCCCTCACTTTTAGAGAGGAAATTACAATATTATAAGCACCATAATCAAAGGTCCCGTTCAAACACCCTCCTCAGAATCCCCTGTATAATGGTAATTTAGAAGTCTTTCACTGAAACAATAACTCTCAACAAGCCTTGGAAAGACAATAAAACTTCTTGTGCTCCTTTGACATGCTTGCGTGTTGCAGAGAGAATTCTGCTGGGAGGAAGGCGCTAGCAATGCATTGGGGTTTTGTCATGGAAAACTAGTGACTTGCAGTCATGGATGTACAGCGGGGTTTAACGAGGTTGATCTGGGAGTACAGATACTTTACTGCTTATATTATTTTCATTTTGCCTCCTCTGCTATTGAATACTTTCCTGGTGTCGAGGACATTAAATCAAATGGCCAAAGGCCAATGATGACATCAGTTATTTATAGGACTGGGAGCCCACAGAACAAACTCCTCAGAATAATACTAATCTAAGATGAAAGCTCTATTTGTGAGAGGGATTCAGTCAGATATTTTCAAGTGCTCATTATAACTGATCCAAAACATCTGGGAAGCTTCCTGCCAAGGCCACTGAGCTCAATGCAGTTACAACAAAGTAACTAAAAAAAAAGCTACTTTCAAATGACAAGGAGCAGGCACGTAAGTACTCCTGCTAAGAAACTGTTCCAAAGTGCATAAATGCCAATAACTGAGCACCACCAGGAAAGGTCAGGTTGCAACCCCTGATACCGGAGCAGATCTCCACCTCAGACTGCCCATGAGCTACCTGTCTTCTGCGAATCTCCCTCCCAGGCCAGCAGGACAAAACCCACAGGCAGGGCTGGCGGTCCTCAGCGGCTTGTTAGACAGATAAGAGATTTCAGGGAGGAGCTATGGGAGTGGTTCCGAATCTCCAAAGAGCTGCACAGGACACTGACTTACATCTGATGAAGTGCTAAAACAAAGTGTTCTGGTAAAACACACCCTGTTTTCTTGCCACATAGAAATAACTCCAAGTAGTTTTTAAATATAAAATATGTCAAGTCTCGCAACTTAGAAAAATCCCATATATTGATTTTGGGGCTTTTTGTAAAAAAATCTGTTACTGTAAAGTCGACATTCAAGAAAGACTGTCAGACACCAAACTTCCCTAAAAGCAGAATAATCAGTGGCTGAATTAAAATCATCATTAATAGTTCTGAACAACATTAATTCTCTTTTCTGTGTTCAGTCTTCCAGCTGTGAGTTCAGCAAACACTGCAGTCCAACATAATCAGTGCCTCTTCAACAATATTAATGTTTAAAACGGTATTTCTTTCATCACCAAAAAACAACTAGCAAAACATTTTACAATGACTCAAAAAAGCAGAAAGATGTAGGCTGCAAGTATTGAGGTTTGTGAATCTGGAGAGCCACGGCCAAGTATTTTTAGGGAACAGTCAACAACCACAGAATTTACTTCCATCTTGTTGCACTTTGACTTAAACAACGTGCTGAAGAGCAACTGTGTGTTTGAGACTGACGTAGTTTGTGAACATGATCTAGGTTTGCTTCAGGTGGAAAAGCAGCGGATACATGCAGGGGTAACTTGGTATCCTGAAGTTTATTGCAAACTCTAAAACCAACATCCTTAGCTGGTTTGCCTTTCCATGCTGCAGAAGTGAAAAGGTGGATGTTCTCAGTTCCCGCTGCCCTAGGAACAACTGTTCTGGGGTGTGAAGGAACACATCATTTTAGTTGTTGGCTGTGAGTACCCACATCAGCTCACCTCATTTTAAAACACTCAGAATTTTCAGGCTGCCCTGGCTTTCCACTGCTTATAGTGACCTCATGAGGGTGCACATCTGCCTCCACAGAAAAGCATCTCATTTGAAGACACGTAAGTCTAAACATGTAAAACTTTAGCAACTTGTTTCTATATATTAATTATCTACATAGATAATTCTAGAGATTTAATTATCTACTAGTCATATGGTATCCCAAATCAGAACCCTCCCTTCAAAACCAGACACATTTGATTCAAGTCTACTAGCATTAGTCTTGAACCCAGAACTGACTGATGATACATTTTAGAAGTGGTAACAGGATCACAGAATCATCATAGAATGGTTTGGGTTGGAAGGGACCTTAAAGCTCATCTAGTTCCAACCTCCCTGCCATAGGGACGGCTTCCACTAGAGAGCTCACTCAAAGCCCCATCCAGCCTGGCCCTGATCCTAAACAAAGCATATTGTGGAAACACTTTCCAATAAATTTCATGATTTCTCAATTTTAAAATGCTGATTTGTTAGAAACAGAACACTTCCAATCCAGTCACAATCTCGGAAGTACTTCAACAGTAGAGAGCAGGCCCTGTTAAATTTGGCTTTTATTGTATACAACTGTATCCAATCTACTTGAGAATGACACTTTTGTAAACAAATTTCTGTCCATCTTCTGTCAAAGCACCAGGGCTAACAGATTGTAACACTGAAACAGATAAACAGGCTGGCTTCCAATGTCTGTGGAAACTGAACCAAATGAATGAAAACGAAGCATTCTCCAAGCTTTTTTTGTTATTTGCATTTATATAAAAATACTTTTTTTAAATGATTGTTAAGAGGTCAACTCATTTAAAAGTGACAGTTCGGAATTAGCTATTGAAATGCAAACAAGCACATAAAAATCACTAACTTTCCCTGAACTAACCTGGTAAAACTGATTTCTTAGAAGTTACCTTCTATAGACCACACCATCTAAAAGAAATACAAGAATCATGAAGAAAGCATAAAGACCACTCAAAATGATACCAAACATTCTATTTTATATTTACTTTATTATCTATGAAATAGTTTAACATTTCAGTATTCAAATTCCGAGTTTCTAATAAAATGGCAAACTTCAACAGGATTGATTCCTTTCTTTGCAGAGACAAGGACTGCTACAGTCACACAGAAATCAAAATGTCTATTGAAAACCTAAGGGCGAAACAGGCACCTGCTATGGAAGTGACACTTCCAGCTTTTGCCAGAAGAATCCACCACACACAACACAACTCCTCATTACAAACAAGTGTATCAACCAAACAGCTTAAAGAGGCAAAAAGGTGTCTGCAGAGCTTCATCTCGGACCCCACTTGATATCTTTTACACCATGAAATTGCCTTTTCAAGGCATGGTTGTCTGCCCACTCTGCATTTAGAAATGAGTCGTCATCATCCTCTTCTAGTTTCTGTAAATAGAACCAGCAGTAACGAACATAACCTGCGGTTAGTGACCACAACAGCACAGCTCACATGCACTAAAAAGACACTGTTACCTTAAGCTCCTCCTGCTTTCTGTAGTAGTACAGCATCATCTGTTTTTGCTCTTCATGACTAATCAGAGGTTCACGCCCTGGAGCTCCTTGTCCTTTCTGAAAAGGAAATTGTAAATTTTATTTATGATGGCAGCTACAACACAAAAGAGAAGCTGCCATGGAAAGATAGCAAGATATTTCTTCAGACAAAAGGATTTCTCAAATCTAGTAAGGTCCCTCAGGACAGGAAAATAAATGTTGAGAAACTTCTGCTGCATTCAAGTGAGAATCATTTTTTCATCTCAGTACTACCTGAATCATGCTGTCAATTTTCTGGACATCAATGGAGCCTGCAAACAAGATTGAGTCTATTTTACTGAAACTTCCACTCTAAAAGAAGTAATAAATCTCTTTAGTTTAAGGTTGTTCTAGGTGGCTCAGGACAGGCCCATCCACCTTTAGCTCCCCTCCTAATACAGGCTCAAGATGGCATATGACTTATTAAAGCAGGGAAGGAAGGCAGTAGTAAAAGGCATTTTATTTGTTAGTACAAATAGAAGATTTTTTTTTCCAGGCAAGTGTCCTCATGGAAGAAATGATGCGTACATCACAAAATAGCTGATGACAGCTACTGTCAACAACAGCAAACAGAACTGTTTGAATGGAGATGGTGAATCCTCTCCAGAACAACAAAAAAAAAAGGCCCGAGGAGGTTTAATTTAGCTCTCCAACCCAAGGATGCCAGCATGCCTTGTCAGACAGGAAACCCCCGTGCCACTTTGCATTCTCTGAAGAGGTCCTAAATCTCCAGAGAGGTCCTAAATAACCTAATTAAACAGTAAGACAACTTTCCTGGGAGCCTACACTTCAGTATCTTTGAGTTGCCACACTGCATCAGTGACCCTGATGGGGAAGAGAAAGCAATTCTGGTCTTCTAAATGATAAACACACAAATCAGTTGACTTATCTTTGAGGAATTCTATTAGACACCTGCAGATAATAAAATCTGTCACAAACATTAATGCCTTCTATGGGCAGAGAAGCTCTCACTGACATGGAAGTAAAATGCAGCTCCAGAATAATTCTGAGCTACGAGTAAGTTCTCCCAGACATGTGACATCCACAAAAGCAGCCTCTGAATGTGATTTTATGTATATAGAGATACATACACACACAGTGAGCACCTTCTGACAAAGCTCTGAAAATGAACTGAAACACCAAACACTCTTCCCTCGAGTATGGTATTCTCACCAGTGATGAAAACAACTGCACGGTTAGTATAAAATAATTTTGTCCAAAGAACATGAACAGTCCCACTAGCTTGGTACTAATTCTGATATTGCAATAACATGACCACTGCATCAGACACCAGTATAGACCTAACCACTAGCTTTTGCTGAAGCATCAGGCATATAGACAGAGGAGCAGCAGGAGAACTTTGCCTCATTTTAGCTCATTATTCCAGAGGATGAAGGGAAACCACTGGGGAGACCTTACAGCAGCCTTCCAGTACCTAAAGGACACCTACAAGAAATCTGGAGAGGGACTTTTTACAAGGGCATGTAGGGATAGGACAAGAGGAAATGGTTTTAAACTGATAGAGGGTAGATTTAGATTAGATATCAGGAAGAAATTCTTCACTATGAGCGTGGTGAGACACTGGCACAGGTTGCCCAGAGAAGTTGTGGCTGCCCCATTCCTGGCAGTGTTCAACGCCAGGCTGGATGGGGCTTTGAGCAACCTGGTCTAGTGGAAGCTGTCCCTGTTCATGGCAGGGGGTTGGAACTGATGAGCTTTAAGTCCCTTCCAATCCAAACCATTCCATTACTCTATGCCTCAGACCTGTGTTCATAATTAATGCAGAAGGCCTTATCTGCTTCACTACATCTGATGACTGGAAAGTCTCATCTCTTTTTAAAAAGTTCAGCTGGAAGCTTGAATAGCACAAGTGGGTGGCACAGGCCCAGCAGCATGTTCTTCCTTCTAGCATTCAGTGAGTTCTCACTAAACACTTTGGAAGAGCATAAGCCCAGGCTCTTCCATAGCCTGTGCCCTTTCAAAGGAAATGCATGTCCACATTTCCAAGGCAACTGAGACAGTTTGAGGACCTGCCATCAAAAAACTCAGGACATCATGAAACTCAGGACATCACAGGCAGGAAATTACTGAGTTTCAGACACTGTCTTTCGGACACAGATCAGACCAAAACAAAGAGAAGACGTATCCACACCACATATGCACAAAACATTAAAACTCTTTAAAGGCCAGAATGTAGCAAGAAAAACATTCACAAGTATAATCAGAAAAACTGGGCAGACTGAATGACAGTGTCTGTTCAGTGCTCTGTGCTGACATGGAACTGCGAGGCAGCTGAGGGTTTTTAAACTTCTCTATTGTATTTCATCTATTTTTAAATACCTCTTTGCTGTACTTTAGAACAGTGCTATGGAGCAAGTAATAGCAACTTCAGTATTTAACTGACAAGCAAAGGAACCACTAAACAAAAACTTGGAACATAATAAATTAAAGCCTTAAAATAGGTACAGTTTCAAGATACTCAGGTTGGAACTAACATAATCCATTTTATACACCCATGGACAACTCTCTTTCATGGAGAATTAGACAGCCAGAGGTGAGTAGCTTGCAAAGAAGTCTCCCAGCAATACTTACTTTCTGTATCTTGACAATGATGGTTGTTTTCTCATTTTTGCCTATATAATCAGAGAGCAACTTTGTTTCATTCAACTCCTTTCCTGCCCACCATAACTGTGCTTCTGATTCTTCTATAACCTCAAGTCCAGCCTGTGACAAATAAACAAACAAGGTGAAGTATTGGGGTGGTTGGTTTTGCTCTTTTTTCTTTTTTTTTTCCCCCAAAACCAGAAAAATTTTCTGGAAAAATCTTTCTGGAATTCCTAACAGAAAGCCCACTGTAATTTTACACTACACTTCTGCTACATCCTTCTCCTCATACTAATCTACAGCATTATCCTTCATATTCAAATCGATCTTGATTTAACATAAGCACTTTAGGTAATAAATTGTCAATACTGGCATTAGAAAGAAATGACAAGCTAACTGAGTCCCAGACTTACTTGAACTTTGTGTGTAACATTTGAAATAAACTTAATTCATCTTATTTCTAGTTAAGCTATTGCTGTGCTTTTACATAAAGCTATCAGACAAAAATATTAAACAAAATTTGTCATGCAAATGAAAATAACCTTCATTGATAAAACAGAGGACAGCATGGCTGTTTAATATGTTTTAATAGTATAGTTAAAGCAGGCACTATATATAATGCAAATACGTTACTGCATACATGAGTTCCTGACAAGTCTTCTTTATCTTCCAACTCCATCCTAATTGGATCATGTGGAGGCAATCCCATTGGATACACAATCATCACAGCCCCTCGGAGCTGGTCCAATGCATCTTTCACCATGTCCATATTAACACACACATTGGCCTGAACTTGTTTCTGAAATACAGGCAAAGATCATTGGTAATTTAAAACAAACATGTACAAAGACTTTGCTTT